CGTCTCTCTCTCTCTCTCTCTCTCTCTTTCTTTTTCTTTTTATCAATATCGTTTCATCTAAAAAGCTTTAGTCGATAAATCATATATAATGATATGAGATGTTACACACTTCCCTCGGATTCATTGAATTAATTGGAAATTTTTATAAGCATAATAAGATTTGAACATAGGAGAGGATGCACTTGACCTTATGATATAATGTTACAATAAACGTGATATGATATTATGGGTTTTTAACATTCTTAGACGCATGACACGTAGGCATTTTCTTTCTGCTCCATTTTGTGATTCACATACACGGCAGTACGTCTTGGATTATATGGACGTCACCGGACATCAGTTGCCTTCCAAAAGAGTACGCCTTGCTCGAAGAGAAACGCGTTATCTTTGGAGGAAAACTGACGTACGCGATCGTCGACTTGTAATACAAAAATGCATGTGCTACTGTGTATCTTATAGTTGTTGATTCGCTTATAAAATTACGAGTGATGTCAGCTAACTTAGTTAAGAATGTTTTTCATAGATTTTGGACTTTGAATCTTGTTTTTATTATTTACCTTTCGTTAAAAAAAAAAAATAGACAACCAATATTAATTAGCTTCCTCGTCCATCTAAATAAATTACAAGTTAATGAAGTACTAGATCATACTCAATATATTTTTGACAATTAAAACAGTATCATGGTTATGGTTTATGTTCATCCATAAATATTTTTTAGTCGGTAAGGATTTTCGTCATTGATAAGAAAATTCTCGTCTTTATCATTTATCCTTTATAAAAAAGATATTTGATTCATATCTTTTTATTTTTTCTTTGAAAATAAAGAACAAGTAATTTTCTCCCCGTCCCATCATTCGTCTTTCTACGCCAACCAGGGCGAAGCACGCAACGAACTTATTCTTCTCCGCAGGAGAAGAATAACGCGTGCCTGCCTTTAAATACGAGAAGCCGCAACGCAAACTTTTCCTGCCTTTTGCCCCTCGCCGTCGGTTTCTTTCCAGTTCGTAGACTGCGCCTTCCTCCCCACCCCCCGGGTTGATCCCATAACGTCTCCTCGATCGTAGGCTTCGATCGGTAGAGGGCCTTGTGCGACATGGCGGAGGTGTCGAGGAGGAGACCGAAGACGAAGATCGTTTGCACCTTGGGCCCTGCGTCGAGGTCCGTGGAGATGATCGAGCGGCTCCTGAGGGCGGGAATGAACGTCGCCAGGTTCAACTTCTCCCACGGATCTCACGCCTACCACCAGGAAACCCTAGACAACCTCCGCACCGCCATGGAGAACACCGGGATCCTCTGCGCCGTCATGCTCGACACAAAGGTCCCTCCTCGTCGGTTGTTGTTTTTTTCCCTCATGATTTGTCTTTCTTGGGATCCCGTCTTGTCGTTTGGCACTTTACGGGAGTGATCGCTTTTGATGTGTTTTGTCGTTTACTTTCTTAACGTGATTCCTCGTTTAAGCATTTTGAACGCTTGTTATGGAATCATAACGTCAAGATCTCATCTTTTGGGGTTACAGTCATTTACCATATCTGATATTGGGTTCTCGATCGGAATTATGGCCCTCCAATTTTCAATTCATTCTGATATTTAGTTTCTCAGATCGTTCTTTCTCTTTATTTAATATAAAGTGAATTATATATTTGTTCCGGTCTGTTTGCACTCACTTGCAATCTGCTATTACTGAAAATTCGTTCATCATTTCTATTATCCGGTGATGATAAATGTTTATTGAAGAATTGCTGTTTTTTCTTTGATGCCAACCTAACATATTAAATTGGTCAAAGTTCAGCTGTAGCTCACGTGTGCCTCTTATACTTCGTGCTAGTGCAGTCACTAATTCTCGCATGAAGTTGATTCATCTGGTTCTTAATGGATGTCTAAGGTTTATCTATGGTTGGTCTTTTGATCAACGATCAAGAATTTGAGACCAAATGGATTAATTTTGATTGAATATTGATATATTTAGATCATATCTTCTGATGATTTTTCGAGCTATTTATTCATTTTGAACTCGTGTCTTTATCTGTGACGTATTAATTTCTGCTGCACTTTCGGCATTGATTATATATTCATACTTCAGCTATAGTTTGCGGGCATTTTTTATGCTGAAGCTAATGAAAGAAGGGACAATGAGGCATCCTATGTACATCTATCGTGCATCTATATTTCTGTATAGACGATCTTTTCTTTTCCAACTAGATCAAAGCAATTAAGTTCAAGTAATAATCACCTGTCTAAAAATGGCAGCCCAGTGCTTGAAGCTTCCACTAACATGTGGTTTGAAGAGGGACAATATGTCTGTCCCTGCCCTGGTAAAAGGAGAGGCTATCTTAATAACTCGATCCTTGTAACTTCATTGCAATGAGCAATCTTATCATAAGATTAGGGTTCGTCATCTGACTTAGTGACTTGTATATTGGTTGTAAATACATGCAGAAAGGAACTGATTTATGCTATTATCCTCCCTTGCTATTATTTTCATGTTCTAACACATGACAAATTTTAGAACTTTCTTTGATCTTATTAAAGTTGATATTTGCACCTAATTCAGATTTTTTTTTTTCTCTTGCTAAGTCATGCTGTGGTTCTTACAGATGTCATATTTCAGCATGTAGATTAAGATAGGAAAAACATGTACTTTACCGCTCTAAGCATCTTAGGGACCATAACCTACATCTTTTTTGTGGCTTTCTTGTCTTAAGAATGACTAATTTAAGCAGCATTGTCTGTGACTCTGGGTTACATAAGTTGGGATGCTTGAGTACGGCTTTATGTGAAATAGATAGAAATTGACAGCAACGGAAACGAGAACTTTGGTGACTTAATGAAATAGAATTTGTCAAACTGATGTGAAACAGGAAAGTGTAGTTTATTGAGCAAATCTCTACTTGTCAAGAATCTATGTATTAACTTTCTTTTGTAATGCAATTAGGAACCAATTTGAGTGTGTTCCATGAAATAGCTTACAAAGACTCCATCATTTGTTAATGATCTGTACATGAAATCTTGTTTGTTTATTATACATTCAATCCTTGTGCAAATGTGAAATTGAATTATTGTCTTGACATCTTTTGTGGCATTCACAGGGTCCAGAGATCCGGACTGGGTTTTTGAAAGATGGCAAGCCTGTCCATCTAAAAAAGGGTCAAGAAATCACTATCACTACTGATTACAGCATAAATGGTAATGAAGACATGATATCCATGAGCTACAAAAAGATAGCAGAGGATTTGAAGCCAGGCAGTGTCATTTTATGTGCTGATGGGACTATTACATTTACGGTGCTTTCTTGTGATAAGGAGTCAGGGCTGGTTCGCTGTCGCTGTGAGAATTCTTCAATCCTTGGTGAGAGAAAAAATGTCAACCTTCCAGGTGTTATTGTCGATCTTCCTACGCTAACAGAGAAGGACGAGGAGGATATCCTGAAATGGGGTGTCCCAAACAAAATCGACATGATAGCTCTGTCGTTTGTACGCAAAGGTTCTGATCTTGTGGAGGTCAGAAAAGTTCTTGGAGAACATGCCAAGTCAATCATGCTGATGTCCAAGGTCTCTTGACGTGTCTAAATTCATCTATGTTTTTGTAGAGTTCAAAGCCTTATTTTAACTGTAGTTAACTTGCAGGTTGAGAATCAAGAAGGGGTGGCTAACTTTGATGATATTCTTGCAAATTCAGATGCTTTCATGGTTGCACGGGGTGATTTGGGAATGGAAATTCCTATTGAAAAGATATTTTATGCGCAAAAGGTAATGATTTTCAAGTGCAATATTAAAGGAAAACCTGTTGTTACAGCAACTCAAATGTTGGAATCGATGATCAAATCTCCTCGTCCCACTCGAGCAGAAGCAACCGATGTTGCTAATGCAGTTCTTGATGGCACTGACTGTGTGATGCTGAGTGGTGAAACAGCTGCAGGTGCTTACCCTGATCTAGCAGTTCAAACAATGGCTAAGATCTGCTTGGAAGCAGAGTCCTATTTGGATTATGGGGCTGTTTTTAAAGGAATCATAGCAGCAGCACCAGTTCCTATGAGCCCAATAGAGAGTCTTGCATCATCAGCTGTGCGAACTGCCAACTCTGCTAAGGCATCTCTCATATTGGTTCTGACCAGAGGAGGAAGCACTGCAAAACTAGTAGCAAAATACAGGCCCGCAATGCCAATAATTTCAGTGGTGGTTCCGGAGTTGAAGACAGACTCGTTCGACTGGTTCTGCAGTGACGAGGCTCCCGCAAGGCATAGCCTTATATTCAGAGGATTGATTCCGGTATTGAGCTGTGCAACTGCAAAGTCTTCAGACACCGAGGCCACTGATGAAGCTATCGATTTTGCTCTTCAGCATGTGAAAGCCACAGGCCTATGCAAATCTGGAGAATCAGTTGTGGTATTGCATCGAGTTGGAGCTGCATCCGTAATTAAGATCTTAACGGTTCAGTGATTATGTTACGATGGCTGGAAAATTTTCTTGGCTGCAATTTTATTGTAGCATCTAAATCCTATCGTGGGTCAGTTTTGCAAACTACTAAGTCTCCTATTTTAATTTTGTGGTTTTCACCTTTTGAATATGATTTCTTATTAAAATTATGGGTTATTTTTCTTATTAAAATATGATTTGGAGTTCACATACACATTAAGGAGGAAGTTATTAATTTTTTTGTTTTTGTTTTGGAAGGTCTTCTATTTTGACATCTTGTTATATTTTTGTCTTGTTGGTGTAATGACAGCCATATAATTTGTTAAGCCCGTTCTTTAATTTTAATGGCTTTCACATGAGGTTTCTCTATAATGACAGGTAATCTTATGAGTTCCCAGAATCGTTTCCTCTACCCGTCTATCATGCTCATATCTGCTTTTGCTAGTTGATTTTTATTTTTTTCCTTTGGTTCACTTTTGCCTTTCCTCTTTTCTTCTTGACTACAGTAAGGTTCAGACTAGGAATTGACAACATTAAATCTATTTCTCATGGCCATTACTTTCTTTTGTGCTTGATTTTAGGAGTTAAAGCATATGACTTGTTTTCTCTTCTTACTTAAATTCTGCTAATTAATTTCTGGTTATCTGCAATTTATCTCCTTCTCGCAACTTATTCTGCTTCAGTAATATAATACTTTCCGTGGCAGAAACATGTACTAAAAAATCATGTAAAACTATGTGTGCGTTCATATTGGACATTGTCTTCCTCTTTCAAATAGGAAAACTAGGTATCACTAGGCATGATATTGAAGGTAAGTATATAACTTACTATGAGATCTAAAGGTTGACATGTCTCAATGGAGGAAATAATAGTTGTTGATTAAACCAATAATAGTTCACTAGCCAACATTCTTCCTGAGAATATGCTGGAAAATTGTAACATTCTTCTCTTGTGTGCATTTAAAAGATTTCACACTTCTCTTTTATCGGTTAATAATTACTCTCTTAGTGTGTTGCTGAATGTGATTGACATGCTTAAAGCTGCTATATAAATTTCAGCTCTTTTATTACGATCTAAAATTTTGCAGTTAGTCATTGTGTTGTAGAAACTTGTGTCAAACGGAGGCTTTATTATTCTATCTAAATGTGTTGCAATGAATCAGCCAATGTCTAACCATTCCATTAATTCCCCTCTCTTATTGTTTGTCCATTTAAGATATATCTCAATGAAAAAGAAGTTTTTATTATTAATTTTTTTTGAGAGAAATAATGAAGATGAGATTGGGACTTAAACATCTGACGATAAATTATTAAAATCTTTATCAAGAAAGTCATTTTTGCAGGATATATAATAGGATACTTGCTGCCATCAGCACTCCCACCATGAACCCCTCCACCCCTTCACCACTGCTGCTGTACTACAGCTCTTTGGTTCCTCTGTAGGCATCTGAAACCTGCAGAAAAACCGGGCACGAGCTACACCCGACATGGAATTTATGCTTGCAGGGCATCTCTCGGGCCTCTGCGCTGATCTCCAAGTCTTCCCCGCAGACCCAACAGCTCAAACTCTCCTCGATCTTCAACTAGGCATCGTCTCTATCGTCGCTTTCTTCCTAGAATACGCCCCAAGGCAACGCCGGTGCCGCCATCACCTGAGCTTTGTCCTTGTGACTGGTTAGTATCTAGAGATCCCTGAAGGAGTATGGCATTATTGATTCGATTGAGGAGTGAACTCCCCCTCGTTCTCGTCGTCGCAAGCCCGATGAGAGATGTACGTATCGGATTTTGAGACAATAGCTATGTCTATTATACGTACAAAAATTTATTGTCGAATCCAAAATCTACCACAATGTCGATTTATAAGAAGAATTATATTGTTATAAGCGATTGATTAAAGACTACAAGATTAATAGTAGACCTATAATTTTAATAACTAATGTTTTGTTCCCAAGAGAAATTTTCTTTTATAGATGAGAGAAATAGTAATTAGAGTAGAACCATATATAATATAGGATTAAGGTCCATTTTAACCTCTATAATTTTGATCATAGACGTTATGGTTTACTCATGTCTAAAATAACCTCTCTATGTTATATTTTAAAAAATATAACATATAAGCCCCTCCAATCAAATTTGAGTTAACAAATGTTAGAGTCTACTTACGTAGTATGCTGATTCACATATGATTTTGGCCATGGACCTCTTAAACCCTTATGGTTTACTCGTGTCTAAAATAACTCATACATTTTCAAAAACATAGTATATAAACCCCTCTCATCAAGTTTGAGTTAGCAGTCGTTAGAGTATGCTTATATGACATTTGACGAACAATAAATCATTAATATAATGACACGTATAATTTAAGTTTTTTTTTAAAAAATAAGACCTCAATCAATGGTGAGAGGAGGCTTAGTCGTAGAAGCGACCACTAGTAGTAGCACTAAGCTACTGTTGCCTAGTAGGGCATCGTATGCATGTAGCCTCTCCCGCGCTGATGACGAGCTCAGGAGCTTCTGGATGTCACTCGCCAGCTCCAGGGTACATGTTGTTGAATCTCATATTTTGATTATAAAACCAATTGATAAGTGTTTATGATTTGATCTACGTTTTTAATGATGCAGGATGCTTCGATCAGGATGAGACAATTAAAGCAGGAAGAATCATGTTGGGCCGGAGGAAAACATGTCAGAAGATTGGACGTCGAGCTGGAGGATCGGTCAACATATCGATAGAAGGCTTCGAGCCATAGATTTGGGCATCGAGCCAAGAAGAGCGGATATTGCGCCAAGGATATCGGAGTTACAAAGTCAACTGGCCAATTGGGCAATAGGCCACAAGAGAGGACAATACACCAAAGAATTAGACGAAGTGTCGATGG